AAGCTGCGTCACTCCTGTCTGCCGCTGGGCTTTGGAGAATTGTCGCTCCAGCACCCCATGTCTGCTATCTGCTTGCTTGTCATCGGCCTTAGAGGTCCGTTTGACCTTGGCCTTGGCTTTTGCAGGTGTATCCAGACTGGATGGCTTGCGTTTTATATTTCCACTGGAGGTGGAAGCCTGTGAAACGGTGTTATCCGCCATATTGAAATAAACAATAGGAAATAAACAACAGGTGTTCACCAGGAGATCCCTGGATCTGGCCTGTACTGCAGTAGAAGAAAAGACAGGTTGTCACCAGGAGATCCCTGGATCAGTCCTGTTCTGCAGGAGAAGAAAGGGCAGGTTTTCACCAGGAGATCCCTGGATCGGCCCTTGGTCTGCAGGAGAAAGGAAGGCCACGGCCCACCTGGGTGGTACAGGCCTGCACGAGGGTCTGTGAGGTCCGGCCCACCGTTAAGCACGGAGTCACTACGCGATATAAGCCGCGCTACGCTCAGGGGCTGTCCTCCCCATTCAATTTTTCAGGCCCACTGTAATAGTGACAATTTGGCCAAAAAGGTATCAATTAAAGATAAGTCTATATATGAATATAGGTATATATCTTGTTTAATTTAATTCTGTTTTATTTTAATTGATTTTTTTGACCCTCGTGTCTCACTTAGTGACGGCTAGGACAGTAAGTGCCGACCACTATGCAGACAGCGGAAAACAGGCAAGGCAAGCAGCCATCCAATCTGTTGGCACTGGATATTTAAAAGGTACTGGTAAGTCACAGTCTGGAATATTACCAGATAAAATGGAGTGAGAGACTCAAGGTATTTTCCCTATGTCCACTAGGCAACCTGAGATGGTGCCTATTAAGCAGCTGAATGAAGATCTAAAGGAATGTAATTAGAACTCCTATTCCCCCCCCCCACTTAGGGAGAATCACCAAATAAGTAAGTTACTTCGTGACTGAAAAGGCTGTAATTAGGACAAAGCAGTCAATTTAATGTGTGTGATCGGGCGGAGCCCAAAGTGGCGGCCAGGACAATCTGATGAGAGATGAAACAAGCTGAGAGAAAAAATCCTCTCCTGCAAGTAATCTGGTAATCAGCTCTTTTAGTCAAACAGTTCACCTGCTGTTTTTTTTTTTTTTTTTTGGTAATTTACAGCTGACAATCAACAGTAACAAGGAAGTACTTGAGTAGTGTGAGGATCGAGCCTTCTAGAGGCTCAAAATGGCGCCCGCAGGTTGTTTGAATTGGTAACAAACCTAAGAAGGTGATTTCAGTTTTCAGTTGAAAATTAGTAGTTTAGCTTCGCATTCACAGCGAAAATCTTGGGAGGGGGTGGGGGAGGTGGATTGTAATGAGGAGGCAGCAATCTACGATCAGCTGTCTGCCTCTGAAAACTCACGGAGAAGGGAATTGATTAAGAGAGAAGAAATGGTGCAGCACTGAGCTCAGAGCTGAACCAATTCCCCCCCCCCAGAAGGAAAAAAAAGGATAGAGAAACCACGAATGGCAATAACTACCTTTCTGAATCTAAATTAGGAGCCAAATTCTCATGTGTCTTCAGGGCTGAGACCAAACGAAAACTGGGGCATGGTCAGACCCTGCAGAGGCGTGGCAACTTTGATTGTTTGGTCTGATTGGGCTAGAAGACTAAATCAACCCATGCGTGGAGTCTACATTCCTCTACATGCTGGAGAACATGCACTTCTACCCAACATGCAGATAGGATTTGGGAAATGTGCACATCGGTCCATCTGCAGCCATCTGCATACTATATTTTTCCATTAATCCCTTTGCAGTATAGGTATGCGGTAACCCCTATACATGGGTGGCTAAATCAAGCTTCAAACTTTAAACTCTAGGAAGGCAACCTGTACCAATAAATGTTACCAGAAATTGACAAAGGGTGGATGAGGGAGAACAAATTAAAATTAAATTGAAACATGGTAGAAATGTTATATAACATCTATACCTGATAACTGAGATTTAGCCTGCATTAGACAGACTGAACTCCCTCTGAAAGATTAAGTATGCTATCAGGGAATGTTCCTTAATTTTCAGCAACCCTGAGATTTGCACGTGACAGCTATGATAAAAAGTGCCTTTGTACCACTATATCTAAAGTGCCAACTATAACCCTTCTTCTTCTTCTTGTTGTTGTTGTTAATTGCGAAGTCGTGTCCGACCCATCGCAACCCCATGGACAATGTTCCTCCAGGTCTTCCTGTCCTCTACCATCTTCTGGAGTCCATTTAAATTCACACCTACTGCTTCAGTGACTCCATCCAGCCATCTCATTCTCTGTCGTCCCCTTCTTCTATTGCCCTCAATCTTTCCCAACATTAGGCTCTTCTCCAGTGAATCCTTCCTTCTCATTAGGTGGCCAAAGTACTTGAGTTTCAACTTCAGGATCTGGCCTTCTAAAGAGCAGTCGGGGTTGATCTCTTCTAGGATTGACCGGTTTGAACGCCTTGCAGTCCAAGGGACTCGCAGGAGTCTTCTCCAGCACCATAGTTCAAAGGCCTCAATTCTTTTGCGCTCAGCCTTTCTTATGGTCCAACTTTCACAGCCATACATTGCAACTGGGAAAACCATGGCCTGGACTATACGCACTTTTGTTGGCAGGGTGATGTCTCTGCTTTTTAGTATGCTGTCTAGATTTGCCATAGCTTTCCTCCCCAGGAGCAAGCGTCTTTTAATTTCTTGGCTGCAGTCCCCATCTGAGGTGATCTTGGAGCCCAGAAAAATAAAATCTGTCACTACCTCCATTTCTTCCCCATCTATTTGCCAGGAATTGAGAGGGCCGGATGCCATGATTTTGGTTTTCTTAATGTTGAGTTTCAAGCCAACTTTTGCACTCTCCTTCTTCACCCGCATCAAGAGGCTCTTTAGTTCCTCTTCACTTTCTGCCATTAGAGTGGTATCATCTGCATATCTTAGGTTGTTGATATTTCTCCCGGCAATCTTAATTCCAACTTTTGATTCATCTAGCCCTGCCTTTCTCATGATGTGCTCTGCATATAAGTTAAATAGGCAGGGCGACAGTATACAGCCTTGCCGGACTCCTTTTCCAATTTTGAACCAATCAGTGGTTCCGTGTTCGGTTCTCACTGTTGCTTCTTGACCCGCATATAGGTTTCTCAAGAGACAAATGAGATGGTCTGGTACTCCCATCTCTTTAAGAACTTGCCACAATTTGTTGTGATCCACACAATCAAAGGCTTTTGCATAGTCAATAACCCTTCTTAAGCTTGTTAAATTTGGCAGCAAGTATGTAAGCATAGGTTAAATATTTACATATAGTCTTGACTACTGCAAAACACCCACCATAGCTCTATCCCTGAAGCTGGAACTTACAATTGGCACAATGTATAGCAACTTGGCTGATATTCACTGCAATGCAGTGATCATCGTGTCATCACTGATTTAATAATTTAATATTTTTAATATTAAGCTTTAAAGCACTATCAGTGTCAGAATTCCCTCCTGCTCTTCCTGGACAAGCTGATAGATGAAGCACAGCAAAGAGGAAACTTTGAAATATTAATGGGTGGCAACTACATAGCTGGATTGCTATCAGAATTTATTCCCACTCTGCCTGGTTAAATGAACATTCCCAAGCAAACCAGAAATGTGATTTGATTGCTTGACTGCTGGAAGTACTCACTTCTGCTCTATCTGGAAAACCAAGCAGCTGGCTTGTCCAAGTGAATTTGGACTCCAGGTTTGCATGTGCAAACCTCAAGGCATGTTCACTCAAACCCAAATCACTTTCAAAATTTCTTCCTGCTATGTTTGGAGAGCCTGAAAGCAAACTGTAACTGCTGCTATATAAAGAACAACACTGATCCAAAATAAACAAGGGATGAGAAATGGGACTAGCTGTTTCAAATAGAAAACCTAGATTTCAAGAATAACATAAAACCAAGCAAGCTCAATCTTTCTCATCTAAAAATGTGCTTTTCAGTTTGATTTCTTTACAAAGAAAACTTTATAAAATACTTTCATTAAAATTATAAGGTTTTGTGCTTTTATTTCATACATAAATTAAACCTTAATTATTAAATGTAATTAGAATAATTATTTCTTGCCCAGTCTTAGCTTTAATACAATTGTTAGTTTAATTGATGGATTTGGCTTCAAACAAATTTATTTATCATTTAGGGGGATATAGCATCAAACAATTTGAGACTTAAATAAAAGAACTCATGCTAGAAAAATAGTGCATAGACAGGGTTTTCCATTGTATAGCTATCTTAGAATGCAGATTCATATTTTAATAGTGCATCCAGAAAAAAATAGGAGAAACAGTATTTTGTGTTTATCTCCCTCACACACCTTAATCCCATGACTGATAGCTAATCTTGAGAACAAATGTTTTGACCACAATTCAGCTACCTCAAGCTTTGCTCCTTTATGACACAGTTTTCTTGGAACATGATTTCTGACATGAACCCTCTAGTTCATTCTTGTGTTGTACTTTTTTCATTTCTCTCACCAAAGCATATTAAGAGAACAAAGAGTCATTATTTTCATATAGTTTGTAGGAGAGCATTTCATCCATTATAACTAATCAGTTCAGATTTTCCTTTAATGTGATACTTTTTAATATCAATAGTTTATTGTTAGTACAGTCAATAAATAAAACTTCTGCTCACAACCTTGACCTCAGAAGGTGAACAAATGAAGAACACAGTTATTGCAAACCAGTTAAAAAGATTGAATATTAAGGGATTACTTCAAAAGTAGAAAATGTTACTTCATCTAAAATTGAGCAAAGCCAATAGGAAATTTGCAATTATTGAATGAATATTTACAATAGTTTTACACCACGAAATGTGGAAGTCAGAATTGTTTTTCCTCCCATAACTGTTGTATAGATTAAATATATGTATATTAAAAAAGAATCTCAAGGAAATCCTAATAAAATGATTCAACAAGACCTTCTACAAATTTTTTACAGGTAGGGGTAGACATGTTACAAAAACTTCTATTTATACTCACATTATCAATACTGGGAGTTTTTGTAGGTGAGGAAAGTCCTAAAACAGAAAATAAACATTAATATAATCAATCAGAGTATTCTTATTCTATGTTTTAAAGCTATGCAGTGTTTTGCATTCAGAAGGATAGAGCACCTTCGGAGAACATGAGTGCTTTCAAAAACACTGTCACTATATTTTTAAAACAATGGCTTTTTTTCAGGATCATGCCAACATTTGCTATATCTGCACCCACATATACACAGAAAGACCTTTTTCTTTCATAGCACTAAACAAAGCTATCCTGAATATCAAAACAAAAGAGTTAGACCTTTATAATCTGACAGTCTGTCTAGCTATCAATATATTCATTTGGCAATTTATCAAGACTTCTTGGAAACAAGCACCAACAATATCTTTACTGCAGATATTACATCCAAAGATGTTCAACTGGTAAGCAACAATAATAGTCCTTTCAAGCTATTAGAAGGACCTGTTTCTTACTAAACGTTACTAATGCACAATCCCTTTTCTCACATACCCTTTGCCTACCCCAATAAATGGGAGGGAATTAATGTAAACATAATGACTAACTCAAACCAGTATTTAAAAACTTCTCCTCTTCTTATTTTCAATGCCCCAATCTGAAAAGTGAATTTCAATGATAGATTGTATGCCTTGAAAAGGTTTTAGTAATAAATATTAAATAAGTTACCATGTTATCTGCTCTTGTACACTCATTCATGTACTGTATAACATGTTCTGAGGCTGTTTTTTTAATATATATATATATATATATATATATATGTTTTCTGAGGTTTTCGCGGGTATTTGTATATAGGTCTTTGGTTGTTCGGGTTTTCTCCCGCGTAAAATTGGAAGTGTCTTGGCAACGTTTCGACGAAGTCACATTCGTCATCTTCAGGCTGGTGTTTTTAGCTTCTTGCTTTGAGCAGCAATGTGTGGTTTTAGCTGTTTCTTCCTTTTAACTGCCAGTGAGGGTATGAACTGATTGGATGGGAGCTTGGCTGTGTTCTGATTGGGTGGAGGTGTGTTCTGAATGGTTAGGGGCTTGGCTGTGCTCTGATTGGCTGGGGGAGTGTTCTGTTTGGTTGTGCTCAGGTTAGTCTGAGTTGCAGAGGGGTTTAAGATTTTGGGGTTAGGGAGTCGTTTGTCAATAAGGGCAGGTTTCCAAATGGCTGGTAGGCGGGAGGTATCATCTCGCTTGTTCATGCTGTGTGGGCGTTTTTCTATCTCGATGGCTTCTCTGATTATTCTGTTATTAAAATGTTCACTTTTGGCAATGGTTCTGGTATTTTTAAAGTCAATTTCATGTCCTGTGGCTTTAAGGTGTTGGACCAGGGAAGATGTTGGTTCCTCTTTTTTGACTGAGTTCTTATGTTCTTCAATGCGTGCACTTATTCTTCTGTTGGTTTGTCCGATGTATGTGGTGGGACAAGTGGTGCATGGGATTTCGTATACTCCTTGATTTTCTAATTCAATTTTATCTTTGGGGTTTCTATTCAGAAAAATATCCACCATCCTTAGAAACCCCAAAGATAAAATTGAATTAGAAAATCAAGGAGTATACGAAATCCCATGCACCACTTGTCCCACCACATACATCGGACAAACCAACAGAAGAATAAGTGCACGCATTGAAGAACATAAGAACTCAGTCAAAAAAGAGGAACCAACATCTTCCCTGGTCCAACACCTTAAAGCCACAGGACATGAAATTGACTTTAAAAATACCAGAACCATTGCCAAAAGTGAACATTTTAATAACAGAATAATCAGAGAAGCCATCGAGATAGAAAAACGCCCACACAGCATGAACAAGCGAGATGATACCTCCCGCCTACCAGCCATTTGGAAACCTGCCCTTATTGACAAACGACTCCCTAACCCCAAAATCTTAAACCCCTCTGCAACTCAGACTAACCTGAGCACAACCAAACAGAACACTCCCCCAGCCAATCAGAGCACAGCCAAGCCCCTAACCATTCAGAACACACCTCCACCCAATCAGAACACAGCCAAGCTCCCATCCAATCAGTTCATACCCTCACTGGCAGTTAAAAGGAAGAAACAGCTAAAACCACACATTGCTGCTCAAAGCAAGAAGCTAAAAACACCAGCCTGAAGATGACGAATGTGACTTCGTCGAAACGTTGCCAAGACACTTCCAATTTTACGCGGGAGAAAACCCGAACAACCAAAGACCTATATATATATATATATATATATATATATATATATATATATATATATATATATATATATATACAGAAAAATCTGGGCTAATCATTCTATTATGAAAAAAACATCATGACTAAGTTAAAAGGATTTATAAATTGTCCACCCATCTCAGTACCAAGCTAAAATTCTAAGCAAGGGGACTCACCTGGCAATGTAGATTTCCCTCATATATTTGTGATAACATGTCTTAATGGCACTTGAATGTTAGGGACAGCAATTTTTACATACATGTACACACTCACATATATTTCCGTTCAAAAAATATATATTAAACCCCCCCAACTAAATCAAATCAAACCCAACTCAAAGCCTGCCCCCCTCCAATTCCAATGTTTGAGATTGCTTTTAATTTTAAGATGTCATAGGCACCATTTTGTATTGGTCCATTACCATTCTACCAATTCCCAAAAGATTTAAAGATGAATTTATCTGCATCAAGAGAGTATTTGCAATTAATGGCAAACTTCCAAATTTTCCCAAGGACAATGTGAAGAGTCAGTTGATCAACATAAACGTATCAATAACATGGTATTTTCCAATTCATTTTTATATTTTAATTAGATCAACAGATCAAAAATGGGGAGTATAACAGCTACTGTACTACATTACAGGAGAAGTTGACAGTTTTAGTACAAATAGAATGCTCAATGATAACTAATAACCAAATGGTATTTTAAAAGATGCATGAATGTGACTTACTGAATAAAAAACAAACACTTTCTACCATTACACTTCTACATTATCCTCAACAACATAAAGACCCAGCAATGTTTGGCAGTGGATTTGTACAATTTAGTCATGTCAGCAACGATCAATTTGTATTGAATAAACTTTGCTAGCAGAATCTATTGCCATTTCAAAATACAATTATCACAAATATAACTGTATATAACTCTATGTAGTAATGCCAATATTAATATCAAGTCCATAAATGAAAATAAGCTTATATGATATTTTACAATGGTTAACTGATCCTTACTGACATGAGATTAAGAAGTCAAAATAACAATAAAAAGCCATATACATAAAAAGACAGTGGACCAAGACAAACAAAGAAACAATCAACAAACCACAAGTGAGGTCTTTACATGGCAGCACTAAGTATACAACTTTTACATATTTATGTTCCTATGAAAGTCTTGCCAATCAGATATAAATGGAAAATAATTTTGCCTTTGGAGAAATGTATAGATACTTGACCTATGGAAAAACTCACTGCATCTTCTGAAAGACTCATAGAAAAGAGATGAGAAGATGCTTTTTACATTATTTTTTACCATGAATGTAGAAATACAAATACAAACTTAAGAGTAGCAATATGGGCAACCACAGTAAGATAATATGTGCATTTTGTCAAAATTCCAAAATGCGTATTTACATCAGATGTCCTGATGCAAAAAAAGTAATCACAGAATGTGCAAGATTATATCATATGCCATCATTTTGGCATCATTGTATTTTTTTGTCAATGTCACTAGATAGTATTAAGTAGTACATTGTGTTTGAATGCAACACAGGCATTTTAGGTTATAGCAAATTTATTACATACCTCCTCTTAGGATAAGCAGTGGCACCTCTGCTCCAACTGGGAACTGCTTCAGTACTTCTACTACCTGGATGTGTGTTAAATTCTGTACATTCTGATGATAAATCTCTTTAATTACATCCCCTTTCTGAAGTCCATGACACCACTGGCTGTCTAAAATCATCTTCACCTTTTGTCCTGCAGGGCTATCAGCTATTGCAAATCCAAAACCTTTAGGTCCCTTGATTAGAGGAATAGTGACCATTTCTGTTTGAGAACATCCTGAAGAAGACCCTGTAGCCCTTTCTTCTCCAAAGTCTATTGCTGAAGGACCATTCAGGCGTCCATTGACTAATATATGTCCAGTTTTACTATTGTGATCCAAAATCACTGTTCCTGGGATTAAATCCTGGCTGAGTATACAGGTATCTCCTTTTGTAACTGGCTGGCCATTTAAGACAGGAGTGGCTGTAACAATATCTACAACAGGATCTTCACTTTCATCAGGCAGAGGATATCCACGACACAACGTCATATTCACATAGTGATTGATGGGAACTAATTGAAACATCTGGACAACATCAGCATGGGTATGGCCAAGGACACATGTACCATTTATATCTACAATGACATCACCTATTAAAAATGAATAAAGTATTAACACAAATATATTTGCACATATTAAATAATCTTAGTAACCTCATTGTAGAGAATTGCTAACATCTATCTATCTATCTATCTATCTATCTATCTATCTATCTATCTATCTATCTATCTATCTATCTATCTATCTATCTTTATATAGCCATCCATCTTACAAAAATCTTTGGGCAGCTCCCAATCAATTTTTTTTTTGCTTTGAACTTAATTTGTATTTGTTAAAACTTGACATCATTTTCTTTGGATTTGGGGAATGTTTATGTGCTTCAAAAGTGAAAAACAGAATGTTAGGATAAGACTCATATGCTAATGAATTGAAGTCTAAATTATATATGACTTTTTTATTCAAATATATTGCTAGAGTATACAACCATATGACCCCTGGGTCATCGTTTCAGAGATATTTCCTTACCAGATTCCTCATTGTATTCAACAACAGCAGAGCTTCTAATGTACTTGTAAAGTTCTTAAAAAACCAGGGATATTCATAAATGTATTTGCTTTAAAAGTAGCTTATGTTGAACTGTATAGCACAGTCAAACATCAGGAGTTGACCACAGGAAATGTTTTCTCACATTTCGTATGATCTCATAAAATATCTTATGATCATTTTTATATCATAAAATGCTTTATAAAATTTGTCAAATTTCAATTCCATATGTGTCATGGCTGTCAGATTTTGGATGTATTCTGTAAGTAAGCCCATTTGAGGTACTTTGATTGAAAAATTGTTGCCTTATGATGCACCTAACTAAAGGTATGCATCAGGCTTTAATGCTTTCTCCACTCCTATTTAACATCTACATATGGCCACTGGATAAGGTCGGCATGGATGAGATATTATCAATATGCTCTTTGAGGAGACTTAGCGTTTGCATTTTGTATTTATTATAGTTTTTTCATTGTATTTTTATATTTCTATATTGCTAGCTGCCAAGAACTATGAGCTTAAGGTGGGCCGTCCATAGAAATTTTAGTAATAAAAAATGAATTTTAATTGGGAAAGAAAAAAAGGATTTGTTCCTGAATATCTAAAATACCAAACTCTTTGTGGTCCAACTACAGTGTAAATTGTAAAACCTCAAGTTTACCTGATGAAATTTTGCCATCATGTGCAGCAGGTCCGTCCTTTAATACATTCTTCACCTGTAGAAATTCATCTGGTCTATCTCCACCAATTATTGTGAATCCAAATCCCATAGTACTTTTCTTCAGTGATGTTCGTATTAGTGTCCCTATCAACTGGGATGGATCTCGAGTAAAGAAAGGTTTTGCTTGTTCTGCACACAAAGAAAATGCTTTTAGGCCTGTCTATTCAAAAATTGGGAGTACAGATTAAGGCAATTAATATTGCAGTGATAAACTATTTAGAAATGTCAGATAAAAACTTTCTGGATACAGATCAACATTAAAAAATATGGATAGGTTTATATTATTCTGTTCTGTTCTGTTAAATAACTATAAAAACACCTAATGCTGGGACATATCAAAGTCTTCCTTCCATCCATCCATTTTCATCATTAAAAGTATTATGTTCTTGCTTCTTTCACAGATAAAAGAACTTTAAAGATACATAGCTGGGATGTTTTGCTTATCTGATTAACTATGAAAAATGTCTAAGAACGTTTCTTTTCTTTTTTTATAATCTGCCATTTTTAAAACGCTTTCAGTGAGTAACAAAGCCTACAGTTAGCAGCAAATCTTTGGTGTTAGTACTTGGATGAAAAATTATTTACATTATTAGAAAACAATATGTTAAAATCATAAAAATATAAATGTCAGGAATTATTTTAAATTCAAATTTATACCAGTACAAATATTAGCTAATTGTTTCCAGAAAGCTAGCATAAAGAGACATGGTGATTATGATGACGTATATATTCTTAAGTACATATCAGATTTTAACAGTAGCCACTGAAAACTGCACCTGGATTTGACAAGCCTCCATCAGTCTGTCCTAGCTGTTTTTTCCGTTTTGCTTCCAAAACTGGGTTTTCAAATTGAGTTTTCTGGTTGATGTGACTGCAAAGTACACAAAATGGTAGTGCAAATGGAATTACAAAATATTTACAGGAAAAAGATCCATTGCTTTCTGCATTATAGGATACTGCTGTCCATTCTTTAAACTTTCCAAAAGGCAGAGGTTCTTACCAAAAATCCAGCTGAACCTCACTTCAGTAATTGCTAAGCTTCAACACTTTAATACTTGCATAATTAATCTGAAAAACCCAGGCTGTTTTCCAAAAGCTAGTAGCATACTTCCATTTGAATACAAAGAATTAAATTAATACAAAGAATCAAATTTCTAGTGATCAACTAATTGAGATTTGAATTCAAACAAATGACCAAACTTAGGACAAAATCTAAATTCAATTTAGGAAAAGCGAGAAATTACAAGTGCTACCTATTTCTTAATATGTTGATTTAGATAATAAAAGGTCATAAGAATAATTATCTGATAATCAGTTGTAAAGATTGGGTCTTAAATAATTATTTTCTTATATGGGGATAAGAAAACTTTTGGATCAAGTTTAATTTAAAGCAAGACAATATTTATTTCTTAATCTATCACAAATTTGGGTGGAACTACAAATAATAATGAAGAGCAGAGATTGATAAGCCAAATAAAAGAAAAAAAAGTTTTGTTATCAGTCATCAATTTTGTTATTTCTAAATTACGTAGTTATCTTGTTGTATCTACCTTGTTGATTCACAATGTTTAAAAAGAAAAAATAATAATAAAACAATACTCTAGATATTTACTTGGTTAAGAAAATAATGTGCTCTAAATCGAAACCTTCTACATGTTCAGAGGAATAAAAAACTGTCAAGCCCAAGATCTTATTAAAAAAGCATGTAAAACTTTGATAAAATTGTAAAAATTTCAAATATATTTTATGAGATATTCCCAAATCCCCTTACTAATAAAATTATTAATAATAGTAGAGATCCTATATTGCAAAGAAAATGTATCATTAAAAATAGTGGATACTTTATCATTTTATTTATATGCTATTTAGTTTCCTAGTATTGTTCTCATATAGGTAGTCATAATTGGGACTGGAACTTCTATCACTAAGAGATGCAGTCATTAACTGAGTCATGCCTAATTTTACAATCTGTTTTCCCATGATCATAAAGGGAATCATAGTGGTTGTTAAATGAATCACACTGTCATTAAGTGAATATAACTTTGTCCATTGACTTTGTTTGTGAGAAGCTCCTGAAAAATTGCAAATGGCAACCATATGTCTCCAGGATGCTGCAACCATTGTAAATAGATGCCAGTTGCCAAGCATCCAAATTGACTGGGAGACATAACATGACAGAGGATGCTGTGACGATCGTAAGTGTGAGCAATGGTTGTAAGTCACTTTTTTCAACAGGATACTAACTTTGAACAGTTGTTAAACAAATGGTCGTAAGTAAAAAACTACCTTTATTTGTCTCTTTTCCCCCCATATTAATTTATAATATCTTTATTCTTTCGCTCCCTTTTTCTGATTCTGTAATTCCTTAATTTGGGGTAAAATCGGGTTGACTAGATGGATCTCAGCGTTTACTGGCCGGGTGCCATTCCTGGTACCACATGGAGTTCACAGCAGATACTTTTTTTCTTTGTTCCCTAGGAGAGAAACATCTGCCACTACCTAGGACTGAAGTCTTAGCCTTCTGAGTGGGAGGCGAGCAGCTTCACTACTAGGCTACCTCGCCATCTGTCTTTATTCTTTATTCATTCTACAAATTCAAGCAATGCTCATATTTAGATACCTCAGTAATATACCTACCCTAAGACAGAATTAGATGATAGGCAAGTTTAGAGAATGCTTCATAAAAAATGTGAAATGGGTGGAATTTTGAATGGTTTATAAAACAATAGCCTGGTGATAGAAAACATTTTTTTTTTGAGATCACAAGATAGAATAACCATTATTTATTCCAATTACTTCATTTATGCATTTCATCCTCAGATAATTTATCCTTTTGGATCATTTTGGCTGGCGTGGTCTAGAAGAGGAGCCTTTTCTGCTGTGCCTCCTGCCCTCTGGAACATCATGCCCCTGCCCCAAAGTGGGATCTGCACCCACCCGTCTGACCTTCCAAAAGTCCTTGAAAACATGGCTATGCCAATTAGTCTGGGGCCCCAATTGGTGTGTGACACTTTGAGGAGGCTAATGGAATAGATAACACCCCACCTCTTTCCCGTGCACACTTTGCTCCCTCCCTCTCCATCCTGGTTAGTTTTATTTTAATTGAATTTTATGTCTATGATTCTTATTTATTAACATTTTATAGAGCATTTTAATTGAATGTCTGTAAGCCGCCTAGAGTCACCTCTGGTGAGATGGGCAGTATACAAGTTAAATTAGTCCTTGTTCTATCAGTCCTTGTTTTCTTATGCTTTCTTTTAAACTATTGTGTATAATCTTTGCACTAGGATAAATTGGGATGACTAACAGCTAGTGTTAATAAATGCTGTTACTCAAAAGGTTTTTTTTATTTCTGTTTTAAAATTCATGTAGTCCATTGAGAGCAGATAGCTAATCAATTGTTATTTATTCTCCTAAAGAATAAGTACCGTAGATCTACTCATTAAATTTCCAGAAAAGGAAGAAAATATTAATTAACTAGTTAATTAATTAAATAAATAAATAAATATATATATGGGTGATAGCAGCTAAGAAGTGGAAGGAAGGAAGGAAGGAAGGAAGGAAGGAAGGAAGGAAAGAATGAAGGATGGGTTTTGGTTATTCAATTAATCTGGACTTTCAGCAAGTAGGCAAAAAAACTTACTCAACATAGTAGGTTCCATACTGAGGATCTTCTATTTTCTCCCAGCCATAAGGAAGCTCTGTAATTAGAAGAGAAAAACTGATGAACTTCTTTCTTTCTTTTTTTATCCCACTTATATCATGAGGATGCAGGATAATGTATTTAAAAATTTTAAAAATATTGTGAATTTTTTTTACAAAAATATTGTAAAATTTCAAAAAATTATTCAATATGGGTGACATGGAAACCAATTAAGTAAACAATGTTCACTGAATTAAACCCTGGTTCAGAAACAAGTCAGCTTACATATCAATTTAGCTGTCTTTGGTCAACTTGGCAGTGTCTTTTCAAGCTTTTCAATTCTTTTATTATTGTCACAAACCAGTGTTATATGACAGTATTTGTGATAGCATTTCAGGCATTCAGCAACTGGCACATTTGTAGTTGCCCGTGATCATGTGACTGCAATTTACAATGTTTGTTTCCACTTTTTAGCAAAAACACCCAATAGCAAACAATGGGTTCACTTAACAACTGCAGCATTCGCTTTACGACTACAGCATTCGCTTTATGACCATGATGTTTATTTAATTGCCACAAAAAGATACTAAAAAAAGGTCCAGTCACACGGTGATACACTTTATGACTATCACGATTTAAGATTGTAATGGGCAGAATCCATTACAATTGTAAGTCAAGAAAATTTGTATAGTCACTTCTCTAAGCAGAAATGACACAAAATTAAAACAGTTTTAAACAGTTCAAACTGGGCCTTTACTCAATAATATTGCATTGCTTTTATCCTTCCCTTAGCCACACAATAGCTTTATTCACACAAAACAATTTAGCTATAACATTTTTCATCATTTGACTTCATGCCCTGACCTTTTCTTGTGCCAGACCATTATAGTCTTACCAATCAACACCAGGGACACTAAAAGTTTATCACTTATGTTTCACTTCCTCTTTCTACCTTTTCCCCATTGCTACAATGTTTTTTTTTTTAAATGGTGTGATTATGGTGGGTGCCAATCCAGCCTGTCTCAGGGACAATTCAACCCCCTCATAACATCATCATCATCATCATCGAGTTGGAAGGGACCTTGGAGATCTTCTAGTCCAACCCCCTGCTCAGGCAGGAAACCCTATAGCATTTCAGACAAATGGCTGTCCAATCTCTTCTTAAAAACTTCCAGTGTTGGAGCATTCACAACTTCTGGAGGCAGATTGTTCCACTGATTAATTGTTCTAACTGTCAGGAAATTTCTCCTTAGTTCTAGGTTGCTTCTCTCTTCGATTAATTTCCATCCATTGCTTCTTGTCCTGCCTTCAGAATAGCTTGACTCCCTCTTCTTCACGGCAACTCCTGAGATATTGTTTCAGTGTCTTTGTCATCTTTCTCTTCTATGGCCACAGTTGGAAAATCAGCAGAGACATAGAACCATGTGCTTGAAGAAACTCCATTTTCACAGGCCACTTTAGAATTTCACCTTGATCAAGAATGTCAGAATAGACACTCCTAAGGTGGAATTTGTATGACATGGTGAAACTGATACTGCCTAAATCTATGGTGTTAGGGCTGTTCATTTATTTGCACAAGAGAATTCCTTCCATGGATCAATCAAGCATATTGAAAACATTTCACACATTTTACGTTTATTATATCTCATTAGTTCCTCAAGTCAAACTTAACTCCTGGTAATAACCTGGGATACATCCATAAAAAATTCTTAGAAAAAATAATGCCATTATACATTTACACAATTATAGTCTGATTTGTTGAGTTTTCCCAAACCAGTATTAAAGATGATAATACTTTCATAAAGTTATAGCTTCAGAATCATATTAAAAATAAAAATAATTAGATGTTATTTTATTTAAGTGACTTGACTTTGGTCTGGCAGCATAAAGAAGAAGCAAGGATGACGAAAGCAGCACTGTCATGATGTAAGGACTGCAAATGTAGAAAGGGTGGAGTCTGCTTTTGTCATTTTGATGAAAGCAGGAAAATTCTGTAGACATACTCAATGTTATTTATGCTTCAAAGAATGCTTATATTAGACCACATACAAGAACTGTCAATTAAAATATGCATTTATCCATTTAAATAAAGATCTTAATTTACACCTCATTCAACTAGACATTATTTTAAAAAAACAAATAAACCAATCCAAACCCAACATCCAAAACCCAACTGCATTTCAAGCAGTCAGATATAAAGTTTAAAAATGGTATGGAAATAAAGTTCATCTTGAATCTAAGTTGTTTGTTATCTGCCTCAATACATATTGAAAAAAAAGCACTGCATAATTCATTTATTTGTGTATCTTTCAAAGCCAAAAATAATACATTTTGCATAATCATTTATAACAGCAAATGTTCACTGCATAGAACACTTCTATGAGTAAAAGAATCACTCCAGATTCAGAAAATTACATAATAGTACTTTTTAAAAAATATCATATTATAATTAAACAAAAGTTCACATGTACTAACTCGTAACCAAACACTTATCATCACAGTTTAATCTGCAGCAAATACATAAGAAATTTAAATGAACTACTGCATTTTTTAGTTTTTAGTTTTTGTTATTATTTTAAAGTCTTTAAGGTTCTTTAGTGTGTATTATTTAAATATTTTAAAATGTATACTTTTTCTTGAATAGTTTCAAATGAAATGTGTGAGTCTTGTTTCAACTGTTATAGCCTGTTATTTTTTAAAAAAATCTTTCTAAATTTTTTTAAAAGATTTATGTTTACAACATTCACTTAAAAGTATGTATTTCTCATTAGACGAAATAGATCATGTATCTTTACAATCATACAAAGGAAAAAAAGCTTGGCTCAGCTTTTAATGGATTTTTATTTTACCCATTAGGTAAAATATATTATTATTTTGAAGCTGTAGAATTTGATTCTAAGATGTCTAAAAAAAATTACAGCACGATTCCCATATCCTATATTTTAAGATTAACAGTCAACAGTAAAGGAACCTGCAATTAAGACATCGGCCACAGACAAGCATTTGGTAATGTCATTAAATTCCTGGAAAATATATTCAGATGCTGTGATATGTCTATATTTACGAAAATCAAAATCATGAAGATATTGTTTCCCTATGTCGTTCTATGCAATGTTGTACTTTGAAAAAGTAGCATAGAAAGCAAAGAAGCACTGAAAGCATAGTAGTATAGAAAGAATATTAATATTTTTGAATGTTGGTGTTGGATTAGACTCTTGAAAATACCCGATAGCGAGGTATCTTCATGATTTTGATTTTCGTAAATATAGACATATCACATATCGAGTTTTCACTTGAGGTATAAATGACCAGGCTCAAATTATTCTACTTTGGATACAGTATGTGAAGCCTCTGGAGAAGACTCTGATGCTGGAAAAGATGGAAAGAAAGAGGATGACCAGCAGTAAGGTGGAAGAGCTTAACTGCAGTAGTGATATGTGCACTGTTGGAAGATCAGAAGGACCTACAAAAAATCTATCTGTGGTGACTCCACATCAACTCCAACCTGATGGCCCATAATCAATCAATAAAAAGCCAGTGGGAAAAATGTGAGCACTGTGTTGTGGAGTTTCTTAGGGCTTAAGACTCTCTCCCTTGCTATTTAAAAATCTATACGAAATCACTGTTGAGTGATTTCATCCATCAGTTTGAGGTGAGACAACATAAATTTGCTAATGCTACTCTGTTGTATACTGCCAGCCTGAACTTTTTTTGGGGGGCGGGGCAGATAAAAGAGAATGAGACTGACTGAAATTGCAGTTCTGGGAAGCAAGGATTGGCATGCTCTTATTTCTACCCAGCTGGGTTACTACAGTTCACTCTAGTTACAGTTCTCTTTCAAATCTGGAAATTGCTATTGGTTCAAAATGCAGCAGCCCACGGGTTAATGACTCTTTGTGCCACAACCACATAGCATTTCTTTTTGGGTTATCTCACTGATTGCCAGTAATTATCCAAGTACAATTCACAGCATTACCCAGTATTACAATGTTCAATTGCAGTCCCTACATTCTGGAATGGACAGATGCCTGAAGTGGGAGGGCAAGTTATTCTTATTCTAAGGAACAAAAGAATTCAATAAAACAAAATAATGATCAAATGTGAATACTGATGCTATGGAGATAAAAAAAAAAACAAGCTGAAATGTTTAGTGTTATGTACTGCAGATTACCCAGATGGAAGGACTTAAACTGGAATAATAGGGAACCACCATTTCTGGAGCAGGTGCTCCAAGTGCTCCAACTGCAGGCTGACCTTGAAATATAGGAGGTATGAGGATCCTTGCTATGGAAAGAATTCATCAGGGTACTTGAAACAACAACAAGGTTACAAGGATGTGATAAATGTGAATCAGAGACTATAATGGAGAAGCAATATGCAATTTATTAATACAGTTAGTAATTTATTATACCAGGAAAGCTTTTTTGCAACAATTCAATAAACATGAACTAAAAACCCTATATAACAAGGTTTAGATAATTGGATCCCGAGCTTCTTACCTCCATCTTCACAGTCTTCAGGGGCTTTGGCCTTTTTACACAGACGAGGATCCAGCCAGGTGGTAGTTTTTGTATTGTGGCTGTGGAGACAGAGAAATTAGTTAGAAAATACTAATAAAAAGTTCCCTTCATTACAGAAACATGTTCAGACACTGACACTCTGTGTGTGTTGAGAGAGACAGAGAGAGAGACAGAGACAGACAGACAGAGAGAGAGAGAGACAGAGAGAGAGATCTGTTTTAGAGGAATGTGTTCATAGTCACAGTTGACTTAGTTTTCTACAAAACAGCAGATTTGTTTTGAATGGGGTTAACTTAGGTTAAAGTTGTCAGAAAATACTGATAACTAATGCTTCAACATTCAGTGAATGATATATTCATGTTTTGTGTAGGTGTATGTGTATTTTACTAGAGAAGAAACAGAGTAATGAAACGAAAACACACATGTCCCTTCTAACTATTTATAACAAGCCTAAAATCATGTTCTATTCAGCTTGCTTTTAAGGACCTACATAAAAGTAGAAATTATCCAAAATAAAGATAAAGATTATCTCATAGTTTTTAGGGTGTTAGATTATCCAGTTCATAGCATAATTCTAAAATAAATAGTAGATTCATTATTTAAATAAGACATTTAGTTCTTAGAACTGTCACATTATTAATAGTCCTGTATTAAAACTATGTATCTAGAAATATAAACAATTATATGAAAGCTTTTACAATATTTTACAATGATTCACTTGAAATATGTTTATACAGAGACTTCTACAGATTTGCCTTTTACAAAAAAAAATTGTATTCTATACAATTGCATTGCATTGATCTGAGCAGTCTACAAAGATCTTTGAATTTGGGAAATGCAGCTCTTTGGGAGAAAATATTTTCCTTGACAGAGAAATGTTTTCCCCAAATAAATCTTTGCAATGGAATATGGATAGATACTTATTATATTATTAACATATTAGCAGAAATTAATAAGCTGAAACATCTTTAAATGTACTAACAATCATGTTGATTTGATAATTCTAAATGCATATAATATTAGCTTCTACTTACTCAATGAAATAGATCATTCCAGTATCTGTGTAGGCCATCTCCCAGTTCTTGGGCAGAGGCTCTAAGTTTTCTTCCCTCGATAAATAATTTTTGAAATCCACAGAACTATTTGTCTGACTGTAACTAGGAACAGGTTTCATCCAATCAGAAGAGTCCAAATGTCGCTCTTTGATTTCTGCAATTGTTTAAAGAAAATAATTCGTTTTATTTATTTAATTTGTTTGCCACCCATCTCAAAATGAGGTGACTCTAGGGGACTTACAATTTTAAAAAAGAATAAAAGTACACAAAAACATGTATATAATATCTATTTTAGCTTTATTCTGCTTTACACAAAGTTAAATTGAATATATCACTAATTCCCTAAGAACAGAGTTAAGCAACATAATTTGCACCTAGACATTTTTTTTGTACCAACCAGCTCCCCTGGTTCTACCTTTTCTATTAATTAAACAACAAACCAGGAAGGACATTCTGCAAAGCAATTTTTCAGTTTTTAGCAACCAATTGATTTATAAAAATATCTTTGGTTTCTAGAAAGATTCCACTGAAATGTTAGAGAGAACTTTGAAAACAGTTGTCATCATATGAGAAATGAACAAGTTTTCTTTTTTTTAATTAGAAATACCCACTATAGCAACCATAAGCAAATACTGTATCCAGGGTAGTCCTTGGGTCACAAGCATAATGAAGTCAGACGATCACAGTTGCAAGTCACAAGAATTGTTAAGTGAGGTGCATACATGATCACCTGGTTTAAGGACCACTACCATCTCTGCTCTTCCTGATAAGGACATAGGTGACTTTCCAGGTTGTTAAGCGGTCCATGGGGTAGGGAGACTTGGGAGGCCTAATGGAAACCCAGGCTCACCTGCCCTGGCCTCCTGGACCCAAGGTGTCCGATGCTTTGCTTCTTGCCCCTCAGGGTCTCTGTAGACCTTGGGCCTGCTCCCCCCCCCACTACTAGGTCCCCACAGGCCTTTGTTTGCTTCCTATCCAGCCATTTGGCCACCCAGGGGAGCCCAGAGTTAGCTGTAGAAGCTATTGGTATGCTCAGGGTTGTTGCAACTTGTACGGTAGACCCCAGCTCTGCCAAACAGGACAGCCGAAAGCCAGTCAAAGAAGCTATCAATGAGTGCAGAACTGCTGCAGCTTACAAGCCTCAGACTGCTTCCCACTCAGTCACTCAGCCACCCTCAGTTACCCAGCTAGCTCCAGGGCCCAGCAGCACCTAACTTATCTTTTTGGAGGTTTTTTTGCAGAGAGGGCTGATGTGATGTAAGGCTCGCATGCTTTACGGCAAGTAAGTGCTATTATCGCAATCCTGTGGGGGTTCTGTTGATTAAGAAGGCTCGACAAACTCCACAAAAATTGGAGTTTTTAGCCTCTCCTGGGTGACTGGGTGGGTGGGTTGATAGCAAGCCAACACTGCAGGGACCTGGTAGGGCAGGGGAAATAGAGAGTGGGTGCTGCAATATCTCTCTGGTCGGTTGTAAGAACATATAACTGTGGGGGCACTGCAGTGACTGTAATTTTGAAATTGGATCTTAAGTAGGGAAGGTCTGTCATAACAATGAACAGTTGCTAAGTGACTAAGTCATAAACTGAGGACTATCTTTAGTAGGCATTTCATAGGAGTGCCATTTCAAAATTCCAAGTATGTCTTTGGCCCTGAAAGGATTCCTATCCTTGGACAAATTTGAAATACACTAATCTAAGGAAACTGAAAACAATATTTATTAAAATATCTGAATTTGTGTGTGTATATCTGCACCTGTTCACATTTAATAAACTCAATATATTAAGTCTCAACATATTTAGAAGGGAAAATCTCTTATGAACAAAATAAGAATTGTGTTTATAAGTTACTTATAACATTTATAACCTATTTTTTACAAGCTGTAATTTAATATTTATTTATAAAATAAGTAAATATGTGTACTGACCTGTTCCTCCATTACCATTAATTGCTATTTTTTCTTCTTCCTCTTCTTCTTCAGGAAGGGAAGTGTCCATTTTCTGCATTTTGCTGACAGATGTTGTTCTTTTTCTTTGAGATTCCAGGTCAAAATCGTTATCAAAAAGCACCTGGTCCACTGGATCAGGTTGGAATGGACTAGGCTCAGCTGGAGGTTTAGGAGTCCCATAGAAATTACCTTAAATGTATGCATGTAAAAGAAAGAAAGAAAGAAAGAAAGAAAGAAAGAAAGAAAGAAAGAAAGAAAGAAAGAAAGAAAGAAAGAAAGAAAGAAAAGAGAGAGAGAGAGAGAGAGAGAGAAAGAGAAAGAGAAAGAGAGAGAGGGAGGGAGGGAGGGAGGGAGGATAGTTGTCAGGATTTTTGCAATAATCCATTCTCATTAACTTTACTTAACTTCCCTGAATGTATTATCCTAAGGATCAGCTGATTTACATATTACTATTGTAATTTATCTGCATGTAATTGGGGCTTCATAAGTTATTATGTTTAGATATTAATAGTCTGAAAACAAAATTGTTTTGTTTTTAATTATTAACATTCCAAAGTAATGCATTTAAGATAAGCAGCCATATAAATGTGTAAAACAATGCTTTTTATTCCTCATATTTATATAGCCACCCATCTCACATATGTAACAAAAATAGAATAAGTGAATAAATAAGTCTTTCTAATGAAGAATTTAGGTTCATGGTCATCTGCATGAAGGCAAGAAAAGGCAAATGATAGATATGCCATAAATACATATTTGTGGAGTATGAATAGTAACAAGGTAATACAAGTCTCATTACTTTGACATTGTTGCAGTTTCTTTTTGTCAGTCCAAAGTATACTAGATCAAGAAACAGATTCCACAGTAAGACTAGAATTATATTTTATTGACATCGCTTTAATAACAGATATTAACAGATGATAACTTTTCCTCACCTCCCACTTTCCAGAGAGTCAGAAAAGAGTCTCTTCTTTACAGGTAGTCCTCAACTTATGATGATTTGTTCAGCAATTGTTTGAAATTACAACAGCACTGAATGAAGGGACTTACCACCGTGCAGTCACATGAACAAAATCACTGTAGGGCTTCTGCAGGAAGACACCCCACTTATGTTCCCCCCATCCCATCCCATTAGGTCACTGCATGTCTTGGGTCCCACATTCTCCCCATCAACTTCCACTCATGGCTCAGTTCACTTATCTTTTCCATAGATTTCCTTCAGGAAAGCAGCCAATCTGCTGTGCAATCTTCTTACATAGGGGCCTTGTGAGTTGTTCTAGAAGAGGCACAATTTTGGGGGTGGATGCAAAGAATTGTAGCCAGTCCAAATAGGTGCCTGCTTCTGGAATGGCAGCACATGGTCTCTGTACAGCAAGGAAGCCAGTGGGTGGATCAGCAGTTTCTCCTACTCGAAGGTGATATCCAAGATCTCCTTTGAGTTATTAAGTGCAACGCAAGCTGCCTTGGGGAGGGGAGGCAGGCCATAGGTGAGCTGGGGAGGTGCTGTAATGAAGGCTGGGCCTGAGCTAGGTCTCCAAGGGCCTCCCCCTATCCCTGAGGTATGTTTAACAACTGCAACAGGAAAAGCAGGGATTGTGGTCATTAAGCAGGGTGTTAATGTGGGTACTCTGCTTAATAACCATCACAACTTATTACTGTAATGGGCAGACTCCATTATGGTCATAAGTCAAGGACTACTTGTACTATCTCTCTTCTCAAGGCTTAAGGCATATTTCTGTCTTCTTTGCTTACATAATAGTTTCTGAATATTTGCTTTAATGTTGCCTCCCTGATTCTCAACACCTACAGTATTGATATCCCTAATTAGATTCAGTAATTTGAAAATGAAAAACAGTCAGCAGATTTTAAATTATTTTATCTGGATGTCAAGTATCCTGGTATCATTTTAAGAGTTATCTTTGATAGTTTGTTCAAAGTCCCTTATTCAATCTTTCCTTGCATGACAGCTACTCCTACACTATTTTTCTCCTACAGGAAACACAAAGTGACACAATTTAGATGATAGCATTCTCGATTATTATTTACAATCATCATAGTACAAAGTCCTGGATCATGCCTTTTTGATTTTTCTTGACAGTGAGAATAGCTAGATAAACTTTTGGTTTATCTAACTTTCAGTATCTACTTTTGTTACATTAATCTGAAGCAAAAACAAAAGGCAAGAGAAGGCAAGAACAAATGCAAGATTCCAAGCAGTTATATTTATGCTAACAAACTGCTCATTAATAACAGTAAGAAATAATGACAATTCTGACTATGTATACTATGCCTAGTATTTTAAAAATCTGCTTACCTATGCATAGAATTAATTATTTCATTAGCATATCCTAATGTGTTCTTGCAGAAGCTGAAATAATTATATGCAAGTTATATATGTCAGAGGTCCCCAACCTTTTGGGCACCAGGGATCAGTTCTCTGGAGAGAGGTTTTTCTGCAGACCGGAGAGTGTATAGTTTTGTGTGCTGCCTGCATCCCGCGGATGGGGCTTTGCTTGTTTGTATGGACTGGTTACTGGCATGCCACAGCTTGGTACTGGTCCACGGTCCGGGGATTGGGGATCCCTGATATATGTTACATATTCAGTTTTGATAGCTTACTGCAGCAATATTTACCTATAAATAAGCAAGGTTGTTATACTTCAAAGGCCAAACATTCAAAATACCTTCTACCCTCACTCAAACACAACTCAATTTTAATAGGACTAAGAATAACAGAAAGAGTTGAAAGGAACCTTGCAGGTCTTCTAGTCCAATCCCCTGCTCAAGTAGGACCCTATACCATTTTAGACAAATGGCTATCCAGTTTATTTTTAAAAGCCTCCAATGATGAAGCACCCACAACTTCTGTTCCACTGGTTTATTGTTCTCACTGTCAGGAAATTTATTCTTATTTCTAGGTTGCTTCTCCTCTTAATTAGTTTCCATCCATTGCTTCTTGTCTTGCCTTCTGTTACTTCGGAAAATAAGTTGACTCCCTCTTCTTTGTGGTAGTATTCAAATATTAGAACACTGCTATCATGTTGCCTGTTGTCTTTCTTTTCATATTTAAGTGATTGTCTACTAGGACTTCAAGATCCCTTTCTCACTTATTGCTATTGAACAAGTTTCACTTCATCTGTACCTGTACATTTGCTTTTTCTTGCCTACATAAAATCTTAACTTTTCTCTACATTGAATTTTATTTTGTTAAATGGGCCCCAGTGTCCAAGTCTGTTGAGATCCATCTGGATCTTGAGCCTATCTTCGTTGATTCTGGCTATTTCTGCCAGCTTGATGTTGTCTGCAAATCTGATGAATTTCCCTTCTATTCCCTTATCTAAATCATTTATGAAGATACTGAAGAGTACTGGGCCTAAAACAGAATCTTAAGGTACCCCACTACTTATTTCCCTCCATGTAGATGTAGTTCCATTAAGGATTACACATTAAGTGTGGTTTGTCAGCTAGTTACAAATCTATCTGGTGGTGATGCTATCTATCCCACATTTTTCTAGCTTACCAAGAAGTACGCTGTAGTCAAATGCCTTACTGAAATCAAAGTATACTTTGTCCACAATTTAGTCATTTTGTCAAATAATGAATTGAGGTTTATTAGGCATGATCTGTTTTTAACAAACCCATGTTGGCTTCTCATCCTAGACACATGTGTAATTCAAATACAAAGAACCAAATAAAATATAAACATCCATTTCTATATATTGGCTATCTAACACTACAGATTTTTCTATAAAACATATCCAATTAATTCATCTATCTCCTTTGCAGGAATAGAGCATACAAACTGAAATACTGTAATTTTCAAATTCAACTCTAAATCTCTAATATTGTTGAAGAATATCTCCAAATGGCTGTCCTACCTGAATCTTCTGTTTAAAAAAGAAAATATTTTATTTTATATTCACTAGTTCCAAATGAAACTTACAAAAACTAAAGAGAACCAATTTTATTTCAATCTATACAGTATATCATAATTAATCAGAAGAAACTGTAGGTTTTTTGGCAGTTGCAGCCAAGAACAAACTCATTTTTATGAATGAAACACGAACAATTCACATTGAGGCAGTATTAAAATGTGTGGTTAGAGCATTATTTTTATTCCTTTGTATGAAGGCTTGTTCAGTTCAATACAGAATTGCACCTCAGAAAGCTAAAAATATATCTTGCTGCACTTGACAGATATTTTTAATAAAATAAGTACCTTTGAAAATTTAAACAATTGGCTTTTTTACTCCTTAAATTAATCACTGCAATCTTAATAAAGAAATTCTATATAGCATAAAAGAAACTGCCAAGGCTCCAGCTATTTTAATATTTTGATACTGTAACTCTATTTTGCCCTTGTAAAATAACTCCATAGCAAATACCTTTATAAACTGTTAATATGGTATCTAGATATAGTAATAAAAGTCAACTCCCCAGCTGACAAGCTCAGCATCTGTAACAGCTGCCACCAACTGCTAACAAAACATTTAAAATACAGTCTCTGCCTGAAAAAATGTTACCACCCTTGCATAAGAACACCTTTCTGTGCAATAACAATGGTCATCTTTAAAGCTATGCATCAGACACACACAGACATACACACATTCACTCACAGGTATTTGATATCGTATCTCTTAATCATCCTAGGTCAGTGATGGCAAACCTTTTAGAGACCAAGTGCCCAAACTGCAACCCAAAATCCACTTATGCATCGTCGGATGCCGGGTGGGTGTGGACCATTGGGTGGGTGTAGTCCATTGGGTGGGCATGGCTGCGGTGGTAATGGCAGACTGGGTGGGACTAAAAAGTTCAATCAATCAATTCCAACTTTGCAAGATCTTTTTTTTCCCTGCGAGAAGTTGAAATTGACTGATTGATTGAACCTTTTTTTTTTGCATATGGCGGCAGAGGCCTAAAGCAAAAAGTGTTTATAAAACCCAGCTGAAGGCCTAGGACTGGGGTGATAGTGCGCGTGCCCCCAGAGAGGGCTCTGAGTGCCGCCTCTGCCACCCGTGACATAGGTTCGCCACACTGTCCTAGGTATAAACAAGTGATGCAGCACTTTTTTTTTGAGTGCTAAAATTATTCTTGAGTGTTTTCAATTAATCCTTAATAGTTTGGTAGGTCACTATAATGATAAGACACAACAGATAGAATACTAAGTCAAGTGCAATATAGATTAAAATTCTGGTTTATCGTAAACCATTTCTCTGAACAGCTTTGATATATGAATAGTTATCCATGATCCTTACCGAAGTCAAGTGAGGACCATGCAGGTCATTAAGAAAGGACCTCACATGACCATAACTTCCAATGTCCTGCCAGCTCCTTATTGACTTTGCTTGTGGAAAGCAGCAGGGAACATTGGAAACTGCAATCATATGACCATGAGGCACAACCATGGTAAATGTGAGATGGTGGCCATGCATCTGAATCACAATCATGTGACTGCAGGGGTGGTGTGACAACTGGTAATATATATTACTTTTGTTCAATGCTGTCGCAATTTCAAATAGCCGCTGAATAAATGATTGGTAACAGAAGAACTACCTGTAATTATATCTCATAAAAATGGTAATCTAGAAATAGCTGATCAAATGATAAGTTTTATATGTACCATCATATGTTCCACTTTCTAGCAAAGCTCCACTTTCTTCCAATGCCTTGAATTGATCAACAGGTATAAAATTATAATCCACTCCAGGGACTTCCCCATCTCTGGGAGCTCTTGTGGTGCCTGTAATAAAAAGGCAGAATGTGAATAAATTCTTGTAAAATTTTCTAACTGTATCAGTTTGCAAATTGTTACCAAAAGTGACCTAGATTCTGCCGCTCTACTATGTAATAATAAAAACAGATTCAACCACAAGTACTTCATTATATGAAACTAGAGCAAAAAATATGAAACAGGAACAATGTTAAACCAAATTAAAATCAAATATGTATTTTATGTATTTGTTAAAATTCTAGAACTACCCACTTGTCAAAGACTCTGGATGGTTCACAAGGATTAATATAATTAATCCTTGACAGTCATGATTATAGCATATTTCCTGCAAACTCAGGGTTGGATGTCTCTAGAGCAGACACATCAAACTCGTGACGTCAGTGACGTCGCGCAACATATCGGAGCTTTTTCGCCATTGCCGGCAATGGGGTGGGCATGGTTTCCCGATGACGCAACCGGCCCATGGTCATTAAGTTTGACACCCCTGTTCTAGAGCCTCCATGTGCCTCCAAATGCTAGAAGATTGGATATAAGAAAACAAGCTGAATCTAAATTTATCGAAAACAGAATTTTTGAGCCTGGACTCAATTGATCCAGTTCTGAATGGGACGGCATTAACACTTAAAGAACAGGCTTGCAATTTGGTGCATTCTTCTTGATATAAAACTGGTTAAGTACATAACAATAGTGAATGGGTCTTTTATCAGCCTCAGCTGATAGATCAATTGTCTTCTTCATGAGGGAGAGAGTTCTGATTCAGTGATATATGTCCTGCTAACTTCAAGATTGGATTACTACAATATGCTTTGTGAGTCCATTTGGAGTTCTCATTGTGAAATATAAAGCCTTTGGTCCTCAAAGGAACATTTTCTGCAAGTTGCACGTTGAATAGCAAAATCTGTTATTATCCAGAAAGGGATACCATATTATAAAATAAACTGCAGTTAAAATAGAGGCCCTTTTTTATTGCAGAGGCAATATAAGAATTACAGATGATCCTCAATTTACAATCTCATTTGAGACCTGAACTTCTGTCACTAAGCAATGGGGTTACTAAGCAATGTGGTCATTAGTCACACTCAATTTTTGCCATGGTTGTTAAGCAAATTACATGGTCATTAAGTGTTTCCTTTGCTTGTCAGAAACCCCGAGAAGGTGACCCTGAGATGCTGCAACCATCTTGAATAAATGCTGGTTGCCAAGTCCATGAATTTTAATCATGTGATCAAGCGGATGCTTAGTGTCTGTAATTGTGAGGATTGGTTAGAACTCACTTTTTTCAATGCTGTTGTAATTTAGAATGGTTGTTAAACAAATGGCTCTAGGACTACCTATACCTCTTTGATTAGACTAATTATATGCCATCAAGTTGGTATCAATTCTTAGTGACCTTATAGATAGAATTTCTCCAGAATTATTTGTTTCCAAACTAACCCCTTAGGTCTTCCGGTTTGACCCATCACAACTATAATGTAGTCCATCCACCTTGCTGCTTGTCATCATGTTTTCCTTTCTTTCCAACTTTCTCAACATCCTCATAGGCTTTGCTAGACAGCGAGAACTTCACATAATATGATAATCTCAATCTGGTCATTTGTGTTCTGAGTAAGAATTTTGGATTATTTCGTTATATAATTTGTTCATTTTCCTGTCTGTCTGCCTGTCTGTTTCCTGTTTCTCTGTCTCTTCAGACATTTTCAATGCCAAACTTCAAAAGCTTCTATGCTCTTTCTAATCTGCTTCTTCAAATTCTAAATTTCATTTCTATAGGAAAAACAACTGCCTGAACAATTCTGATCTTTGATTTTTGTAGATATAGAAACATTATATCAGAATTACATTTTTCAAGCCTTCATTGCTACTCCTCAAAGTGCCAGTTTGCAGCATATTTCTTCACTGCTGATTCCTTTAATGATGATTCTAAATGGCAGAAGTTATTCACCACTTTAATACCTTCTGTTAATTGTCAGTTTGGTTACCATACCTGCTGTCATTAATTTCCTCCAGAACTGGCAATAAACCGATTTGAGCTTCCGTGTAATGCATACTGGCCTTGAATTCAAATGTACCCCTAAATATTCCATTATGAATTGGTTTTAGAAGTGGGATGATCAGAAACATAAAAGCTGGACTTTGGCTTTTGTGGCAAACACCAGGTACTTCATAATGAAAATCATAATTGTTAAAATCATCTCCCTCTCTACCTCAGAGGACTGTGGTGGCAAAAAATGACAAATGGTCATCCCAGAATATTCTTCTCCTATGAAAAACGGAAGCATACCTTATTGCCTTTTAGTTGGCAAGGAGCATTCTGGGAATCCATGCTGACTATGAGTATGGATGGGGAGAAGACGCCTTGGGGTAAGTTTTTAATTTCCCACTCTTGAAATGGAAGTAGTCCAATATCGATCATCTCACATCTGTTTCTTTGGGTGACAGATAGATTCTTCTGAATCCTGCCAGATCCTTGGTATTATTTAGTACCTTAATGGGATGAGGGGAGGCTTCATCTGTGTCTTTCCCTGATGTTTAATATGTCTATGTTGTGTCTTATATGTAAACTATGAGAAGTGTAAAAGTGCTGATGTCAAGTTAAGAGAAGGCCATTACAATACAAATGTACATAAGAGATCCAACAAAAAGTTTTAGTTTCCAGTGTGGTTTTTGATTTGAATATGTGTAGCATCAAATGTGTTGCCTGGAAAGTATGCATTTGAAATAACTGAAGGTTTAGAATATTGGAGAGATAGAAAAGAATAAATTTCCCTCCATTAAAAAAAGATAGAAAACAGGGGAAGGGGCGGGAATCTCATTTTTTCCTTTCAGGAAAAAAAATGTTTTACTAAAGTTGATTTTTCCTGTTTCTAATACAAATAAATCTTCAATTTATTGTTTTTCTTTGCTATGCATTTATCTCTTTCCTCAGCTCACTTGTTAATCAAGTGATCATCACATAACACTTCATTCTCATGCAGTCTGGTATCTTTCTCCTTTTATTCTATCTCTGGATGTGGAATAAATATCCTTTGGCATATGCAGCAATAGCATTTTTTACTCAAAAGCTTGACAACACAATGTGTGAATTTGATACAGAACAGAACCAATTTTACTACTTAAAGAATCACAGTTGTGGATAAGCAACTTCTTTGAATTAGTAGTAGATGTTGCTGTGGACCCATTAAAGCTAATCTTATTGTCTTAAAGAGCTGTTGGCCCAGGGCACATAATTTTACACACCAATTTGTATACACATGCATATTTGTAATATATTAAGTTGCCAGTAAACACATGGGAATAAAGATGTAATTCCCAGTGTCATTATTTATAACTCCAGAATTCAGGTTTTTCTAGCCTATATCATACATTTAAAGTAAAAATTACTTAAGATATCCTTTCAAATTTTATGTTTAATCCAAAGGAATATGTTAATATGTTACTTACATGGAATAGTTCTCAAGTAAAGATTATCTCTGATAACCTGTTGCAGTTTGTGATCAACTGAACCTTTCTGAAACTGTAGGCTTAGGTAGTGACGTAAATCTTTGTTGATGACTTTGCCTGTAATAAAAAAAATGAAATGAAATACTATAATCTGCTACATGATAGATAAGATATTCACACAAGATCTTCAAAATGTTTATTCGGCAGCATGTAGAGATATCTAAAGTTCAAAATAAAAGTGAACAGAAAAATATATAGATGAGGTTTATAAATAATTTGTACTTGAAACTTGCATCTTATAATCTGTCCAATTAGTTTAGCAAGTTTCACTTCTCTTTGACCTTGAGTAGTCCCATGCCAACAATGTTTTTATGATTATTCCACCATCACTTCATGCAGTGGGTAGGGAGGGATAAGAAATGTAAGGTAATATCAGTTCTAATATAATTTATTCTGAACAATTAGGGTTTCATAAAACAGCATTGAAGAGCAGACACCATCCATGTAGTGTATAAATACTACTTTGAACTCAGTAATTTGATCTTGTGAAAACAAAATTCTTTCAGTTTACTCTTGACTAGAAACTCTTAGAAGGTCATAAGATTTCTCATGACAGAATAATTGACACTCAGTATAGTGAGTGAAGCTGTAGCAATCTGAATAAAATCAGAATATAAAAGGTTTGTTAAAAATGAAGGAGAGTTCACTATTTGAGGTACTCTAAGCATACTCTATATTAAATAACTTTTATCCAAGTTTCAAAAGAAAAAAAATCCATTATTAGATATTTTCACACTGGTACCTTCCAACAGTCTATGGCGAGTAAGAATTTCAAAATCTCAATGTGACAAAGACATTTGTGTGTCATTTTCATTATAGGTTATATTCTAACCATGATATTCATCTATTGATAAATGTCAGTCTATGAAAACTTTGCTTAGATAAAAATCTTAAAATTATTTTACTACGTAAACTTTAATCCTATATTTCTGGTTGATTTGTACAGCTTGTAACAGTACTGATCATTAAGTATAATTTAGGTGAAATATATTTATATCATTTATCAGTCTCAGTTTTAAAATTTTATTTAAATTCCCATAGCAAATAGCCAATCTGAACTGCTTTTATAACAAAGTATAAAAACTTTGCAAAATCCAACGTTCTACCTTTCACAGCTTAATTAAAAAAAAAAACCCATGGAGGGTAATGTTTGTAAGGTGTGATTCTGATATTAAGCAATGTAATAAAAATCCTAATCTTAAAAGATTTTTTCCCCACTGGATGGTTTAAATCATGATTTAATTGTGATTTTATCTATAAAACTGTAAGTATGCAAGCTGCTGTCACACTGTGGGTAGATATATATATGGTATGCATATGACACCAAGCAGTATTGCAAGCTGTAATTGATCTAAGTTTTTTTAATATGTTTCAAAATGAATATATAGTATGCTTTCAGATTTAAAATCATCATTATTGGGTATCTCATGTTCTAAGTTTATATTTTTTTAAAAAGCAATATCACTTTTTTCCCACAAGTATTTTATTATATTGGTCTGATCATGTATTATTAGCAAATATATCGTATCAAGTGAAAGTTGTTGCTTCGCTGTTCCATAGTAAACACACAATAGAGACATTGTATTCTCTCATCAGTTTGACAGAAGGATACAAAGCAAGGTATTGATCTGGGTCATCCCTCCAGGATGGTTATGTGGACTCTTAATCTGCCATTGAGTTAGCTTTGGAATGTCAAAAAGATTCTAAACTCTTAAACTAGAAACCTAGGTAATACATTTTATTATCACAACAAAATTTTAACAAGGTAGAAAATAGCTGAGAATGGAATGTAAGTTCATATAACTTTTTCAACTAAGAAATTTTAATATAATAACATAAATATGTATTCATTACAAAAACAATATTATGAGAAATAAGAAATTTGACAGTAGGGAGAAGAGCTTGAAGCATGGCTCTGGCAGCACTTATTCATTACAGTTTATCCTCATTTTGGCTAATTCTTGTTTCTCTCTCTCTTTTAAAAAAAAGAGAGAAAGAAAACCTGCCCTCATACAAACCTGCCCACATACATACATACATACATACATACATACATACATACATATAAAGAGTGGAAGAAAAGACAAGGAAACATAAACTGGCATTTGAAAAAATAGAAATGGGATGATCTTTCCTTCCCAATTTGCTTCTTTAAACAGCACTTAATAGTTCACCTCTTTATCTGATAATGGAAGAAATTAGAATATGGTATCTTCCAACTTTCTGAATCCAGGGAAATTGCCAACAGAAGCTAAGTCTTTAATCAGACAAAAAAAGGTGAAGCAAGCTTTAAGCAAACACTCCTTCCCTGACCAATGCAAGGAACCAAGCTGGACTCCTTCTTCCCATCATGCTCTGTATGGGAAGATAATGATCTTATTGGGCTTGGTTTACTGTCCAACGGGGAAGACCAGAATCCACATTCTGCTGTTCAATTTTAAAGGAAATTGTGAAACATAACTGTACAGAATTTACAAATAATATGTTTCCTGTGATTGTTTACATTTCTGAATAAAATTTCAGAAGTATTTATGTCTGGTCCTCAAATTTACAACTGATGGAACATCTCTGTGGCAAATTTCAATTGCTTGACAGCTCACCTGCTGTGTTAATGTTTGCCTCAAAAATTTCCACTCTCCTATCTCCCCATCTCTGCCCTTTTGGCCCCCTTCATGAGATAAGTGCTGATTGTGCAAGGCTTTCTTCCTGAGGTCATGTGCAGTCCTTGTGAAGGGCCAGACCTGATGCGCCTCAGCAGCAACAAGAGCAAGAAGACAGGAAAGGTCAGTTGGGGGTGCAGAGGTCACAAAATTCAGGGTGGCAAGGTAGCTACAGCTGGGCTTTGATGCCACAGTGCTGGGGTGGCTGAGGTTTTGCACCATGTGCTGGGCTGGGACAGTTACAGCTTCTCTAAGTAATTGTTTTTACTATAAGGGTACAATAAAAATATCATTTTGCCATCAATATAACAACCACAAAAATACTTTAAAAGCAAACTAAAAGAGAGAGAAAACAATGCCCTGGATACAAGAAATGTCTTTAATAGAAGCCTGACAGTTAACAGGATTGTGTTTTTACAGTTGTCAAATAAACTTAGGAAGATACAGATGCTTTAAAGAACCAAAAAAGACTTCCACCAACATCTTAGAGAACTCTGAAGTTCCTTTTTAAAATAAAACTCAAAGCATTACACCATCTTCAGCTAGTACACCAGTTCCACCTCATCCTGAAATAGAAGGTACTGGTAGCAATCTCACATATGGATTATTGCAATGCAGTCTAAATGGGACTGCCTTTGTAACTGAAGCTGCAACTAGAGCAAAATGTAGCACTCTGTGCATTAATAGGTGCAACTTGTTTCTCCTATAAACTCCAGTACCACAGAAATTATACTACTTGCCAGTCAGCCTCTAGGGACAATTCAAAATGGGAATTACTATTTTAAAATCCTACAGAACTTGGGGCCTGTAGGGATCTTTGAGATCACTTACTACAAATAGAATTTACCTGCTCAACACATGTCTACAAACAATAAATGTTTACCCAATCACTGCAAGAGAAAATTCATAGGACAGCATTTTCTACAAGAGTGCCTACCTGTGGAATTCCCTTTCATCAGAAATAAAATCAACATCCTCATTGTTAATATTTGAGAAGCTTTTAAAACTATAGGTATTTCTAAGAGTCCTAAGAGCATTTTGAGAGAGGGACAATTCTTACTGTAACAGGGATGAATAAAAATTCTAGTAATAAGTATCATGCTACAGTATTTGACTCCTTCGCAAAACATGACTTAGTACTTGATGGCAAAACCCTTGTTGGCAGTCACAGAGGTTAGACGTTACTTGTAGTTGGCCACCAGGTTTGCACACATCTCAGGAAGGATTTTGTCCCACTTCTGTTTGCAGATCCTCTTGCAGATTTCAAGGCTGATGTTTGGTAGCTCAAACCTTCAGCTCCCTCCACAGATTTTCTATGGGATTAATATCTGGAGACTGGCTAGGCCACTCCAGGACCTTAATGTGCTTCTTCCTGAGCCACTCTTTTGTTTCCTTGGCCGTGTGTTTTGGGTCATTACCATGCTGGAATACCCATCCACAACCCATTTTCAATGCCCTGGCTGAGGGACGGAGGTTCTCACCCAAGATTTGACAGTACATGGTGCCATCCATTGTCTCTTTGAATCCGTGAAGTTCTCTTGTCCCCTTAGCAGAAAAACACACCCAAAGCATAATGTTCCCATCTCCATGTTTGACGGTGGGCATGGTGCTCTTGGGGTCATTGGCAGCATTCCTCCTCCTTCTAACACAACGAGTTGAATTGATGCCAGAGCTTGATTTTGGTCTCATCTGACCACAACACCTTCACCCAGTTCTCCTCTGAATCATTCAGATGTTTACTGGCAAACTTCAGATGGGCCTGTACATGTGTGTTCTTGAGCAGTGGGACCTTGTGGGTGCTGCAGGATTTCAGCCCTTCACATTGTAGTGTTACCAATTGTTTTCTTGGTGACTATAGTCCCAGCTGCCTTGAGATCATTGACAAGATCCTCCCGTGTAGTTCTGGACTGATTCCTCACCTTTCTCACAATCATTGAAACTCCACGAGGTGAGATCTTGCATGGAACCCCAGACTGAGGGAAATTGACAGTTATTTTGTGTTTCTTCCATTTGCGAATAATCACACCAACTGTTGTCAGCTTCTCACCAAGCTGCTTAGCAGTAACCTTGTAGCCCATTCCAGCCTTGTGTAGGTCTACAATCATCATGGACAGCTCTTTGGTCTTGGCCATGGTGGAGAGTTTAGATCTGATTGATTGCTTCTGTGGACAGGTGTCTTTTATACAGGTAACAAGCTGAGATAAGGAGCACTCCCTTTAAGAGAGTGCTCCTAATCCCAGCTTATTACCTGTATAAAAGAAACCTGGGAGACAGAAATCTTGTTGATTGATAGGGGATGAAATACTTATTTCACTCATTAAAATGCAAATCAATTTGTAACTTTTTTGAAATGCATTTTTCTGGATTTTTTTGTTGTTATTCTGTTTCTCACTGTTA